GGGGCGAATATCCTAGGAATATCGCCCCCTTTTGAGAGGGGGGGGCGAATCTCCTGGGGGGGAGCGAATTTCCTGTGACACCGGCAATTTTTATTTAACGAGTATGTGGCCATTTCGCATTGTTACGATATAAAAAGGTATCATTGAAAAGTTAAATAACTGTTCTTCTATGTAAAAATTGAATTGTTTAGCAAAGTTGATGATGCACGACAGCCTATTGAATTTCCATAGCGTTTTTTTTTTAGACATGCACCCTGTACAACTATTTGGAAAAGAAATTTCTCCTATTGCGCAGTAATAAACTTTTGGTTGTGGATACGGGTCTAAATTGCTTTGCAGTTACATATTATCTTTGCTTGCAGTTACATATTATGGTATAGAGCCTTTGCACAGCCTCGTACCCAGGCGCTGTGTGTTGTTCTATGGCTTGCGTGGCCTTTGCGTGGATTAATTTTATCGATTTCGTGGTGAGGCTTCCCCGCGAATTCAGTCCATTTTCTCCCACGCGTGTCGTCCCGCGTGCGTGTCGCGCGACGGTGTAGCACGACAAAGCGCCTGGGTACGAGGCTGGCGTTTCAACAAAAGCTATGTTGGTGTTCCAGACAAGAGCCTAATTAAAATTATTTTGAATTGAACACCAACATGGCGGGTGTGACGTCATGTGCTCTACAGGATGTATAAAAAAAGGTAATCCAACTTTAGCATGCCATTGTGCGTTAATTACTTGGTGCATGAATGCATTTTTTTTCATAATCATAAAGATCGGGCTTTCAGCTGTAGGATGACACGTTTTTTAATCATCCAATATGGAGAAAAAATGAGCAAATACGAGTCTAATAAAAATTGTTTGTCGAAATTGAATACTTTCACCGTCGAGAATTGGATCTAAAACTATTGAAAATTAACTCCCTTTAGCACGTGCGTATGCATAATAATTATAACATCTTGTAAACCAGCTCTAAGCTCATTGTTAAAATGACACATTCGTGATTAATTGCTTTTCTTTTGTTATGCACTGCTTTAATCAAGGTTAGCCCAAAAGACTGATCTTTATGATTATGAAAACATTACGTTCATACACCGAGTACTTAACGCACAATGGCATGCTAAAGTTGGATTACCTTTTTTTATACTAACATCTTTTGTTCTTATTTCTCCTTAATATCTATTTGTACAACTTTTTTACGTGGAGAAACTTGCGCTCAGTGTTTTAATGGGCCAAGCAAAAGGTATATAAGCTTTGATCTAAATTACAGTATTTATTTTTTCGCTATAGTCAGTTTAAAAACTATGAATATCAATAAAATAAGGCCCAAAATAACATTTAAATTAATATCTACCTTCTAGCATTTGAATATAATGTACATATAAATCTGAAATAAAGTCTGAAATAGAGGCATGCATCTATATAGTCTATTTGAATATGTATTGATATTCATATAGAGTTTACTTCACCCATAATATTCACAATCCTGTTGTCATATTTCTTGGAAATTTCTTCAGATATCTAAAGAAGTTTATATTCCAAGATTATATCAATTGTGTATCTCGGCGAAGAAATGTGCTACTTGGAAACCGGCTTGAGACGTATACCCATCAGTCTGTATAGGAGGCCCCTTCCGTTGTACAGTGTGTATCAAAATAATTCGAATCCAAATTTGGCGTGTAATAACGCAGAATATATTTGACAAATTCGGTTGGTTTTTACACCATTGTTAAGTTCATTTATTTACTTTTCAAATGACATGTTGTACGCGTCATTTAGTTGGAAAATGAAGGAGTATTGCTTTGACAAAAAAAGTCCATAAAAATCACAATTTTCCGCCGATGGGAATTGGACATTTTTTCTTTCAAAGTTAGTCCCACAAGGCTTTGAAATGCTAATCATCACTGAAAACTAAAATGTAAATTTAACGCATATTTCTTCTTGTTCAACATGTTGAAGGCATAGGAGCTTAAATCTCTTTAAATGAACACGAATTTATGTAAATTTTGCTACATAACAGTTTGTTGATTAATTAAATTTGCACTATCTTTTGTCTGTACGTCTCACTTCGAATTCCCATCAGCGGAAAAATTTGATTTCGAGCAACCAGTTTGAACACACGATTTCTTGGTCATTTTTGGTTCTATTGATATAATAACGATATAATCGGAAACCTAATAGGCTATTCTTTATTGCCATATACAAATTTTATCGTTTACTTTAGTATTTTATAAACAGCAGTCTGTCAAATTTGGATTCGAATTATTTTGATACACACTGTATAGGAGGCCCCTTCCGTTGTATAGGAGGCCCCTTCCGTTGTATAGGAGACCCCTTCCGTTGTAGTAGTCAACTTACTCCATGTCATTCACTTGTTCTTGTGGAGAACACCACGTTTTTATTTACCAAATCCATCTCTGGATCTCTTAAGAAGAGTCTTAGTTATACAGGGGCAAAAACTGAGAAATAGCCTCGATCCCAGACGGATTGAGGAATAAGGAATCTCTTACTTCCTTTAATGCCAGTTTTGTAACATCATGCCTGTTAAGTCAAATAATGAAATATCCTTGATTTTTTTATCTTATTCAAATTTTAATTGCATGTACATATTTACTATTTATTAATAACTTATTTTGTACTTAGTGTAATGAGTGTCATTGTAATGACGCCTTTGAAATTCAAATCTACGCGTTAGCGTAGGAAAAACAAACGTTTTACTATACCAAACTAGTGCAAATAGATTTCCGAGTGGATCAAATGAGATAAACGATGCGGCTATCCACACCAAACAAATCAATCAATTAATCGCGAAGCAAACTTACAAAAAAACATTGGGCTGGCTATGAACATACCTGTTTTTGAAGTTGTTTAGTTTTCGTCACAATGACGTCAAGCTTAGGTTCCAGTTCACTTTGAAGAGTCGCGGCTTCTTGTCTTCGTTCTGCTAGCGCCTTACACGAAGCTTGCATCTTTTCAGATAATTTTAATTTATGTTGTAGAGATTCCGTCAAACGGTCAACGTACCTACACAGAAGAGTTGCAAGTTGAGTGTTAAGAATATAGCTACTGTATAATAGTGTTAATATTTAGGCCTTCGTATTAGAGGTCTTTAGAGCCATGCAAAACGGCAAAAGCAGAAAATCTTACAAAACACAGTCTGAGGTAGACATTAGACTAGTACATCCTATGTTGTCCATGACTAACCAGTCTAACCTGCGATTAGGCGTCATTTTTAGTGAAGGCCTGATCGTCGTCTACGATGAACACAAGCAAAGCAATCCACAATAGCACATCTACAATGGCTCTTGTTACAGAGCCACATTAATATATTTTCAAGTGATAAAAAATGTAAAAAAAAATTTTTAAAAAATATGACGTTTTTGCATGCATTATACTCGATATTACTTTCAACCTATTTTGAAATTTACATATTTTTATTTAAACCTGCTCCAACCAGAATCCTGCTAGCCTGCGTGGCATGCCCTCAATTTGCAGAATCCTGCATGTGCATATATTTGTGTATCTGCCACACTGCACAACTGAAGTTATAGTGTTTTACTTTTTTATTTGATTAAAAATATTTTTGATTGATGCTGTAAAATTGACGCCATATTTATACAGCAATATAATCAAAACTTACTGAACTTCAAACATCGTTATCTTTTTGGCGTACCATCTAAAATCTCTTCATTTTAGCATAATTTTACAGATAATAAAAGCACTATAAACATACTTTTAAAGTTTGTTTGCCGCTTCAGAAACGTATCAAAAATTCTAAAATTTGAATATAGTCATAACCAAGTGGAAAATTATATTCACTAGTTTTAAGCATGTCACTGCGCGTGCTACGTGACATACAAATCATTCTCCACTTACAGTATAATACCTCTTACAGCATAATACCAGTATAATTACAGTTATTTTAAATATACATTACCTTGGAGACGCTTTTATTAAAAATAAGTTTTGAATTTTGACGGATGTTAAAAGGCTATCGATGTCATCGACTTGGTTTTTCATTGCTTGAACACTGTCACGTGATTGTCTTTGCAGGATATCGCGAGAAGACTGGAACTAAAAAGCAGAAATATTGACCCATTTGACCCAATATTCCATAATATGAAGAAATCCCCAAAACTGTTAGTTTCCGCACGAAATATTTTTTACCTGATTAGATGACAAAATATTTGTATCATCTTCCATTTCTTTTAACCTTTGATCCAGAAATGCTTGAAGCTGAAAGTAATTTAAATCATCTCCTTAGCTCTAACAACTATTAAAGACGGCTTTTTTCGCGTATTTGATGTGCTACGGAAACTAAAACACTACTGAAGTTTCAAATACACACCCTTCCTCTTCGAAAGAATTCATTAAATCCAATACTTTATGGACACTGAGTAAAACTCTCAGGATACAAATAAAATTCTGTCAGGAAAAATACTTTCAGCAACTCCACTTACATTGTTTGCAGAAACATGGCATTTTAAACCTGGTTGACATTAAATCACACGAATTCGCCTCGCAAGCTTATCTCCGTAACTCCAACAACTGCGTGGAGACCAACCTCGTTCCCAGGGAAGAGCCGAGAAGCCCTGGGAACGAGAATGGACACGATCTTGATGTATGTAGTGTAGAAACATTTGTGTGAAGCGCTATAATTCGTGAGCTCTAGCTCAGAGCTTTTATTTCTCGTTTCATAACCTAAATACGATTTTTGAAAGTCTCACAACATCGCTCATGATTAAATCACACTGAATCCAAATACAGTATAGAAGTATTAAAATTATATTGGGAAAATATAAGAAATTGCTACTATACACACCTCTAAAATTTCATCGATATAGTTATTCCTGGTCTGTGGGTAATCCAACATAGTTAAAGCATCGTTACCCTGAGCTATGCCATCGTCACCAGAGTCTACAATTTACAAAACCAAAGACATAAAATACTTTACCCGCCTTTTCGAGAAGGAACTGAACTGCAATAAACGGATATACAATAGAGAATAGACCCTTTCATGACGACATCATTTCACTACAACTACCAGAACCAAGCACGTATCCATGGTGATGGAGTAAGGATGTGCCGGACGTAGTGTTGTGCACAGAGATATGGACATTTTGAAATAAACAGCAATTGGATCAGAGAGTTTACAAACTATTTGAAGATGATTAATTATTAATGATAAGTGATTGAATTAGTAATTAAGTGTTGACAAATGTGCATGACGTAATAGTATCCAGAGAGTATCGAAGGCAAGTATCGTATTGAGACAGTGTGCGAGAGGCCGAGAGCGTATAGAGAGCTGAAATATATCGAGAGTTTATTATCAATCAGTGGAGACCCACTCTTCAGGTATTGTAAATTGTTTAGTTGTAATCAAAGTATTCAATATCCGTCTAAACATTTTGACTGTAATCTAATCAGAACCCAATCATTTTAGAATGTATTAATATTACGAAAATCTCTACTGGATTGTGTGTGGTTTTGCCCATACGGAAACAGCAATTATGTGACTGGTCTACAAGAAATTTTTATTTATATCCAGAATCCCTTTAGAAACAAATATTTACAATGATACCACAAGAAACATGTAAAACAATTACATGGTATAGGCCTATACTAGCTGGTAGGATGAGCAAATTACATTTTGTTTTTCACCTCCAATTTAGAGGATAAATTTGGAGGTCAAAAACTAACTGGAGTTTGCTGATGCCAAATGTTATTCATTCCTGCATGATGAACTTGGCATAAACAATATAATTATAAACGTTTTCTATATCTTACCTTCCTCGATTTTCACTTCACTTGAAATATCATTATCTCCAAAATCTATTGTTTGTTCATCGCCATAATCAATATTACCTGCACCGAAATCGATATTTTCACCATAATCAATAGTTTCGGTATTTTCACCGAAATCGATATTTTCACCATAATCGATATTATCACCAAAATTGATACCATCAATTGCACCTAAAACATGATACAATCACACTTGATATACGTTCGTGAAATCGGTAGCCTCCTGATGAAGAAACTTTCTTTAAAACGTCGAGACGTTTTCTTACCTTTTTCAGAACCAGAACCATGACCAGACCAGAACCATGACCTGACCAGAACCATGCATGCACTACCCATGCAAGGTTATTTTTATAATAATTTTGAATTTACAGATTATTATTATACAGTTACTGTACCTTCATCTTTAGAAGTTTCACCGGTAATATCCCAGTTTATCTGAAACAAAATTGAATAACACACTCACATTTTAATCTGTCCCATGCAATTGAGATTTTTACGTGTGTTCCCGGCATTAGTTCATTAGAGAAGTTAAGATACAACGGTACCATATACGGGAACGGGTATAGTGTCTTTTTGTTTAGAAACTTGCACTGATGTCTATACATCTTTAATCATTTATATTTTCTACTTCTTCCGATATACAATGGTCTGTTGGTCTACTCGAAACAATGCGTACGGTTATTACGAGTAAACATAACGACATCGTCATCGATGAAAACTGCTTAACAAAGTGACGCTATACCCGTATCCATGACTCGGAACCGCGGGCTATACCTTAACCTCTGTATTAATGCACGGTATTCGTGATATTCGAAACAATTATAGTTTGTCGTTGCGATAAAAATATAGTGTTCAATAACGGCTATATAATAGCAATTAATATTACTCCATTTGAACTAACATGCAACCATATTTATATACACTTTGGTAAAATTGAATCATAGGCCTACCTAATGAGCATAACTCACCTCTGATGATTCTGCATTGTCTGTGTTTTCATTCACCTGGTCTGGATTTATAATGAGCTAAAGACAGTAATAACAATGAAATGAAAATTACAAATAAAATGAAAGTCTTCATAAAAGGTTTGCTTCTTTTGACTGGTCAGTTTTAATAACAGTTTCATCGTAGAGGTTTGTTTCAGATGCTAGAGTGAGATAAATTTCACAGATACCATGGTTTCCAGCCAACTCGTACATGGTTAGGAAATTTGCTCTAACGTTTTTGGTTAATCCAGGAATAAGCTCACCGGCTATCGAACAACATGCTCCTGCAGTCATTCACGTCAACTTTTTATGTAAAAGGGTTACTGGTTTTGATTCGCTAACCTAATAATCTCTTTAACCATGTGTGAAACGTACTTCAGCCAAATGGCTGCTATAAGTGTTGTCAAAATAAATCACTACTATAACTATATACATTTAGAAAGTTACCGTTGGAATATTCCCTGTTTTCCATTGATAAACAGATGTATTTCCATGTTCAATAATATGACATATCACTGGACACAACTCTTTGCTTTGCCGTTCACTTTCATCCTTTCTAGATTAATTTTTTTTTAATTTCAATACAAATAAATGCAGATAGCTAAACCTACGGCTATATATATAAATATATAAATATATAAATCTAGGCAGTCCGAATTGGAGGATTTGAAATGACATCTCATACGAATAAATAAGTACTTAAAGTGGGTTGAATTAATTTTGATCCAGTCCAAGAACTGAATTAATTTTGATCCAGGATCAATATAGGCTACTTCACTAGGTATCCAGTATTATCGTGTGAGCAAAATAAAGCAATATGGTTGGCTAATTTACTCATGAATAATTAATGAGTTTGAGATGCATATGTAAAGATGGTGGCATTAAAGAATAGAATAAAGAAACAATAGCTGTCAAGACGCCGCTGATGCCCCGATTAATCGTTGTGTGTAAACGTACCTTATCTCAACACGCATATTAATTAGGGTAACTTATGGATAATATATGGGTCAAGTTAACGATTACGCTTCTGCGCTGCCATACATAGCGCCAAGATGTACAAGAAAAAGCCTACGGTTTCGTTTGGGTCACCTGTGTTGATTCACCTATTGAAATACACCAGTAGGTTTATGACACCGACTACAACGAAGACGGAAAAGGGAAACAGAAACTCGCATTTTCAACCTCCGTGCTCACGGCTGTCGGAGAGAATATAAGAACCAACGTGAAAAACGGGTAACATATTGAACGTGTAGATTTTCTGAATTTCTGTAAGTATTTGAAAGTATACTTTGGAGTTATAATCCCCAGGTCAATATTTGCAAAGTTCATTTAGACCCTGTCTTCAGTCTTGCAAAATACGACTGCGCCCGCGATCTGGTTTGGGTTGCCTGATCCAATACTACAACTATACATGGCTCACCGAGGAGAAATAAAATCCACAAAAGCAGCATAGTAATATAAAATATCTGTCAATCTTGCAGTCTTGCCACGTATATCATCATAAAGTGTTGGTAAATCTTTCAACAGCAACAGGAGTTCCTGTCTTATGTCAGTACCCTAAAAACATAAAAATCTGCCATTCTGGGTGCTAACAAGAACACTCATTATAAAATAACATGTATATAACGCGTGCTCTGATTGGTCGAAACCCGTGTTTGGATCGGATCAGGCCATCCAAACACGGAAATTTAAAGTAAAAGTTTTTTAAAGTGAAATTTTAACACGGAAAGTGGTTATTTTATAAAACAATTACTTTATGGTTTCCGTGTTTGGATGGCCTGATCCAAACACTTGGGAATGTTGCTCGAGTTAAGAAAAGCGCGCAAAATCACTCGCCTTCGGCTCGTGATTTCGCGCGCTTTTCATAACTCTCGCAACATTCCCGCGTGTTTGGATCAGGCCATCCAAACACGGAAACCATAAAGTAATTGTATAAGATAAAAGGTAAATAAAACCAAACTTATACCATCGACTACTCTGGAAAATTTGTTCGATTTTAATTACGCATTTTTATGTCATGACAATTAGCCTTTCTCACGATGACGAATATCCGCCATTTTTGGGTGGCATCTAATTCTCGTTAACCAATGCAGACAATTAAAACAACGTGAAAAGCAATTTTTCAAAATAAACGAATCATTTACAAAGCAAATTTACCATCATTCGTTCAAAAAATTATAAAAAGGCGCTGTTATGTGGACTTGTCTCGCAGACTTCGGCTGAAAAGCCACCCAAAAATGGCGGCGTGAGAAAGGCTAATTGGACACATTTTTGGACACGTTACAAGTAACTTACACTAATTCCCATCTGTTTGCAAATATGATGATATTTGTCTTTAAAATTATTTGCATTTAATGCGTATTCACTTTCTTTCCTTGTACAATCCTGAAACAGGTGATACATTAAATTAGATTTGAATCTACAGTCAATGCATGATATTGTGTTTAATTTAACATTGCAATCTATTTCTTCTTTTAGAATAGTCTTTTATTGATAAAGTAGCTTACTCTTTGTGTCTGTTGACTTTTAGCAATTTGTCTTTTTAGTGAAGGAATTTCATAATTAACATTTCTGATGAGCATATGACTCGCTTCAGCTAAAAATAAAAATCCGTACATTTACTGAGTGACAATTACTGTATGCTCTGTAACAAGAAAATATTGTAAGGGGAAATTCGTACATACATGTACATATCCTAAACGATCGATCCAGAAATATTTATTAAACCATTACACTGGTCATTACGATTCTGTACAGGCACACGTGTTTACCCAACATAAGGACGACAGCTATCACAATGAAACAGTTCACCATATAAACTGTATCACAAAAGAAATTAATAATTAACGGATAAAATTACTGGAGATTCAAACGTCGTCCAGGCTCTGTTGACAACAGCGAAATACAATATATTTATGTATTATGTATATATATACAATATTATGTAATGCGAAATACAGTACATATATTTTCATGTCTTATACACAACCAACATTTCAAGCTGTATCAAAGTTATTTTTTCTAACAGCAGGAGCGTAGCCAGCCCCAAACGAGTGTGGGATCTAATGTCTGGCCGTCCGCGGGGGCATGTCCCCCGGAATTTTTCTATATTTTTTAGGGTCTGTGAAACGCTATTTCATGCATTTTAGATATAGTTTTATGATAATCGGAAATTTGGTGTATTCCATGTCACCAGATGAAATCATTAAGAGGTTACGCCCCCCCCCCCCGCCCAGTTTTTCCTCAGTTATGAAAGAAATACAAAATTGATCTTGAAGTTGGGCGGGGGCGGACCCTACGCTTCTGTCTAACAGAGTTGATTAAAATTGGTAAATTCCTTCTATATGAATGAACATCAAGATTTTGGGCATCTCGTTCGATGGAGCTGAATGTATAGATGGTTTATTAGTAGATGGACTGTATAACTCAGTGGTCAGAGCACTGCACCGGAATCGCAAGGCCGTAGGTTGTTCGATTCCAGCCGGAGGGCCTAAAATTTCATTTTTCGCTGCTGCTCCCGGTTAGGTCTATAAGTGCATATATATTTTCGTTCCAAAATTCCATCTACTAATAACATGCAGGTGAACCCGAAAGTGCACCTGCTGTATACAACAGTCAGTAGGGGTGGATCTACTATGGGGGTGCAGGAATGGGGGGCACACCCCACCAAGTGGTGTCTAGCACCACCTAGAGAAGTCCAGCACTACCCTAAAAATGTGCTTGACCATACATTTTCTGCTTTTCGAATAGCGATAAGCGGAACTGTTTATCCTAGCTTTTTACATGTCTTTGTTTTTTGTTCACTTTTGTTTTGGTAATTTAAGGAACTCGCATCCATACACGTCATACTGCATAATTACGTTTATATGAACCTCTTGTTAACTGAGAACGCGGTCACTAATACAGGAAGACCCCCAACGAACCTGTAACCTTGTACGCCGATCTCCGTACATAAACCGCGATGGCCAAGCAGAAAAGATTATCAAGTGAATACACGTCTGTCTAAAACCAACAGACGCGATTCAGAAACTCAGACTTACAGACTGTAGCATAGAACATTCACCATTTAAAAATAAAGTTGCCAGATAATACATCTTCAACTTATTTCACTCGATTATGCAAAATGTGGGTTTTTAATATAATAAACCGTATGCATAATGACGTCACAAGGCTTGATGCCCGCAAGGAATGCTGGTCTTAGTAGTCATCGCCCGGAAAAATTTCGATAGTGGCCATTGTGAATTGTTTAATTTTCCCGGGCGATGACTACTAAGACCAGCATTCCTCGCGGGTATCAAGCCTTATGACGTCATTATGCATAAGGTCTATTCTTGCAATGTATAAAGTTTAACGCTAATGTATCAAAGATAAATTAAATTAACTACCTAAACCCACGTTGTCTGCTTCATAAAGTTGTAATATTTCTAACCAATCCTAAAACATAAAATAAACGTGATCAATATTGTAATACCATCAGCAAATTCAATCAAAATTTCTGCTGGAATAGTTCTACTTCTGTACTGGTGAAAAAAGTACAACGTAGTGATGTACGTTATTGAGGATAATTAACATAAGTTACCAAACTTACATGAGTTATCAATTAGATAGAAGCATCCAACCTATCTACTCTAAATTTCCTATAACATTTGACCCTTCCCAGAGACCCTGTGAAACAGGACAATACTGTAACAGGTTGCCTTTGACCTACAGTGGCAGGCCCACTGTCTAATGCGCCAATGCCAGACGATTTTACTCATCAGGGACTTAAAAATACCTATTACCTTCATTCTTTTAGATGAATATCTTCCAAAAATATTTCTTGTAGCAGATTCTGATATTTTCAATAATTCCACAATTCTTTCACAATGGAAATAATTGATGTCTATAAATATGAAATTACTGTAATTATAATAAAAGTAAATTATGTATACTACTACGACAATTACAATGTTTTTTTTGCAAAACAACAGTGCAAAGGGTAGAGAATACAGAGGGTTTTTTTTAAATAAGTCTTATTTTGCATGTCGAAGTCAAGTCACAACAGCACTGTCTGGTCATTTCTTGCAAGTCCAAGTCACAAGTCATTGACTCCATGTGGTAAGTCAAGTTAAGTAGCATAATGACAGTGACCAAGTCAAGTTGCAATTCTCTACAGTTCATACATTACAAGCTCTACAGCTGTATAGTACATTACAAGCTCTCAATCATACTGTGATACAGTATGCCAGTCTGGCTGCACTTATGGTCACTGTACATTCACTTGGTGAATTGCCAGTGCAATTGTACTGTACATAGGAAAGTTAACCCACTAAAGCATAAACAGATTTTCAGATTTTGCTCGTGGGGGGGGGGGGGGGGGAGGTGCCGAATATTTAGGAGGTGTGCCAAAAATGTGTGCGGAGGTACAGCAGCCAGTGGGGGTAAGGGGGCAAAGCCCCCAGAAAAGTTTAAGATTTTTGGTCTTATTTAGTTCAAAATCCTTGTTTTTAGTATTACTTAGTTCAAAATCTTTACTACCGTACTGTCATTTATCCCAATGCGCATTTAAATTTGTTTCTTTTGGTGGGAGGGAGGGGGGTGCAAATTTCTCTAGGTGGGGTGGGTAAACTTGTTGGACTAGCTGCCACAAAACAAGGCTAGATTTTGGTGGAAATGCTGGGGGAGGTGGAAAACTGTTTAGGGGAGGTGCAGCAATCCTAGCTCATGGATCCCATGGAATGTTAGGGCTTAGAATGTACCCCTGCCCCCATAAACTCAACTAGGTGACATATGCACGCATTCGTGAATTATAACAGTACAACTCATCCAATTTTGCCATTCAATACATTACTACAAAGTTTCTTTCGAAAAACATTCTTACAAACACAAAGAAATGTCAAATTTTAACTTCCACTCCCATTCCCAAGGGGAGGTGCATCACTTTTCAGGGGAGGTGCAAAACGATTTCAGGGGAGGTGTGCACCTCCCCCTACCTCCCCTCAAAATGCTACAAAATATTTTTGAAATTAATAAATTAAAGCGCAAACGTCCCCCATTAACGAGTAAAATTGTCTGGTGTTAGAGTAAAATAATAAAACAGGAAGCATCTGGGTGCATTGGAGTTTAATGGTTAATGTTCAGTAGATATTTACAACTTCATTTACATTTGACTTGCATTGGACAATGGTAACAGGTCATTTCTTGCAAGTTCAAATCAAGTCACAGATCACAAAAATTGTCATTTCCACATCACATGACTCAAGTCTACAACTCTGGTAGTACAGAGCCAGTTTTCCAGTAGGCAAATTTGTTCATACAAACAGAGTTCAATATAATTCTGAAAACTTGGTCTGACATTGTGTCAGACCAATCCATGTTTTGGTTGGACTACTTGGACATGATCGGACACTTAATTATTCTCAATAGGGACATTGTCAGTTGTCACAGTACTAGAAACCAAAACCGTAACAATTAACTACTGGTACCAAGAGTCCAAAACCATATACATATGCATAATGGTTAACAAAATTACACAATATCAGCAACAACTTACTCAGTAACAGTATATATAATGTAAAATTATATTTCTTTTAACACACACGATGACATTGATATAGCATGGATAGTTACGAAGTCCAATTTTGTGATTGTCTAGCAGACGGAATCTTTGTTTGCATGTGTTTTTAAAGATTACAGATTTTGTTAAAAGGACTTGCAACAATAAAGGAAAAAATATTCAAATTAATGAGATAAAACGGTCGGCCATAATGTCCGTGCAGAGTAATTAGTGGACAGCCATATGAGCATTTTGCTCAGCTAATGGCTGACCATTATATTGATCCCTGCACACAAAGCAAATCCAAAACTAATCCATGAGCAGGACGTATGAGGTGCAGGGGGTATGGGCCAATCAGCACTCATCAGTTAACCTACTGCAAGCTACCATACACCACAATTGTTCGTTACTACTTAGTAAAAAACATTGCTGCAATAGAATAGGATCCATTCCAACTTTTCTGTGGTGAATCTTTTCAAACCAATCACACTGCACATTTTTGTATCAAATTAATGTGGAAAGCGGCCTGCTTATAAATATGCCCTTGATTTTCACCTTCCCAGGAGTGTAAATATTTGGGGGGGGGGGATGCCATACCACCAATGTTGGAGAACAGCATTTTTGTAGGGTAAATTTACCAAATACTCAAATAACAAGATACACTGTATTAGTCACTCACAGGCAAAAATATTAACTCATTCTAGAGACTCTAAATTTCGTTTCGTCACATGTGATACGAATGGGGTGCCTCATAATTGTTTTTGTTTTTCCCACACACACACTTTCGTCAGGTAAAACAAACACACACCCCTAATGTTTAAACCCAAGTTACCACCCTGCTTCTTTTATATACAGTACTGTATAAAGAAATACATACAGCTGCCAGAAAGAAGTTGCATAATTTCATCAACTGCTGGCATGTCTTGAATTGCTTCATTAATCTTTTCTCTTATTACAAGAGCTAAATCTTGCCATTTCGATTGACAATGTCGACGGTCAATCAACCATTCTGGAATATGAATTGTGTTGAAGGTTAAATGCTACATATGGAAGACAGGACTAGGCTGGGGCAGTTTATCAGCAAAGAGATAAATAGTTCGTTTTTTGCATCTTTTCGGGAAATTTCAATAACAACATTATCAAAGGGTTTCAACCGTCAAGATGGCAGATAAAAAAGACATGCATTGGTATACTGTATTATGATGTCACTCCACTATTTTTAGATACCACAACAGGATTCATTGCAATCATATCATCAATATTCATCTACCTGTATAGCTGTACGTACTCCTCAATATAATGTACAATAATATGATTATGTTCCTCTTGCCCCTTTTTGTTAAAACTTGTTTGCGGTAGCTTTTAGTGAGCTTGCCGTTAGCGAGGGTCCACAATAGGTTTTTCGGGATGCAGGAATTAGGTTATTTTTCGATCAGGAGGCGGGATATTAAAAAAATATGATGCGAGATTCGGGAATAAAATTTCTTGCGGGATGTGGGATTTTCGCAATTTGTGTCTCGGGATTCGAGATATGAAATCATTGTAAGACGGGATACGGGATTTAAAATACGCTCTTTGACGTATTTGAAGAGTTTTTGAGTCTGAAAAGATTCAACAAAAAATACTCCATTCACGTCTATTTATTGTATTTTGAAATTTGGCCATATTACCGGAAATGACCATCCCTGTCCATAGTAGAAATTATGAAGGAGGGATTTTGTACACGGATCCAGCATCACACTGTGATGCTGTGGTCTAAGAAAGAGGGTGCAGTTGAATGTTTTGCTGGAAACCGTAGCAAAGCTGGAAACCGAGACAGCGTTGTGAGCATGACAGAGTTTTATCAACCAATAGGGCTTTGTGTTGAGTTTAGTTACGTTGTTTACGTTTGCGATGCGCAGACGAGCTGCATCAAAGTAATCACAACCCTTCATAGGATAGCAGATTTTCTAACGACGATCGGTAAAATCTATGCAGCGTTTTCTGTCCATGAGAAGCACCATGCGTTTACAACATTTACCATCGAATCATATCTATCAAATCATCGAATCATGTACCTATCAGACATTTGCGTGAGAACGAGACGTCAATTAGAAAGAATGTGTTAAGACTTCCAAGAACCCTGAATGGTCCTCAAGGTAACGTGGCAGCAAACACAATTGGCTCAGTTGATATGCTCAAACGAGGCTTGGTACGACTGAACAAAATATCTACCGAGTTCGGCTACCAGTCTCTAACCCTTCTTAGCTGCATGACATTGGATGTGGAGAATTTCCATTTAGTGGTGCATCACAAGGCCCCTGTACGCACCGTTCTTCAATGTGCCAGAAATTTTGGGAATGCTGTTCAGGAAAGCCGAAAGCGAACCAATCACTGGGCAGCTTTCTACTATACGAATCCTAAATCCTGGTACCCAGTTTCTGAAAGAGTGTCACGCCTAGCAGCAATTCCACTTATGGAGGCACAGCAACCGACCACCATTTCTCCCCAAGACGCCCAAAATATGAAATGGGCAGACGCGTATGGAACATCTGTGCGACAACGCACCATGAGGCAGGAGACCACAATGTGCACGGCAGGGGCACTCCCAGATTACTTGTACCAACGTCAAATACAACCAGGGGAGCCTGTCATAATTGACAGCCTCGGGAAGGATTCAGAGGCAGAAATCAAGGAAGAGAGAGTCGACGAAGAGGAGGAAATGGGAGGCGTAGAAGTTGATGAGTACGATAAAAGTAGCGATGAAGGCGGCAACGATGAAGTTCAAGAAAAGGTCAAAGAGGAGCGTGCCAATAGTGTTGGAACTTTGGAGCTAGAGGCCAATTTTCTCCTCGGAACTGTCTCTCGATTTGGAATGGCTATCAGATTTAATAATCGACTTATTTTTAAGATGCATCCATGCATGGATTTTCAAGCTATATCTTTGGTTTGCTTTCCCGTACAACGTCATGAAATTTCGCGGTAAAACTGACACTTTCTTCGTCGTCATAGGTTACTAAGCTGCAAGGCGGGATCAGGATTCCACAAAAAACGTTTCGGGATATCGGGAATTTTAGAAAAAATACATCGGGATATCGGGATTGGGGTAGCCTATTGTGGACCCTCGTTAGCGTATTCAAATCAAAATGGTTTACTTTATTGTAAGTGACTGACCAATAAAAGCAATTAGACTGATTATTACATTATCAGTTGACAATCAGAATCGTAAAAGATTGTATATAACTGATTATTATGGAAATAAAACAACTCTTCACTTTAGAGGCCTTAATATGTTCATGAATCATGCAAGAATAGCTTCTTGATATTTATAATGAGATCAAGGATACCAGCTAGGCCTAGGAAGTATTTGCTACGTACACCTATTAAAAGGGTGTATTTCTGAATGTGGAAATAAAGAAATATATAGAGTATAAAACCTAAATACTTACCAAGAAGTTTATTATAGTAAATATCAATTGGCAGACTTTGTTGCTCACTCACTCCTTCATTCTAGAGATGAGTATTATTTTGTGATTAAATTCATCAAATTTCATAAAACGTCGAGATCATATAGCTCTAGCGAAATGCATATATATAATAAAACTATCAAAAAGCTCAAAATACCTGCATTTTCAGACGTTTTTCTCACAGAAAAAATCAAAATATAAAACTTTCTAAATATTTTAGTACACGTTTCTTTGTTTCTGAACATGACAGTACGTAAACAAACGATCAGCGGTACGGTGATAAAAGCTAAATACTTTGTTTAACCACATACTCAAGTCGTCCAAATGGTTCAATTTTTTCCATCCAGCAAACTGATCTGACGTCATTTTCGGAAGATAGAAGAGGTGTTAAATGGCTATTTAACTAACCCAAACCCTACCCCTACTCTAACCTCTAACCCTAACCCTAACCGAATTAATAAAAAAATTAAAAAAAACGACTTTAGAAAATCGATAAGACGGTTTGCCGGATGGGAAAAAGTGCTAACCACGTTGCATTCAGCACAATCAGCAGTCAGTCAGTAAGGCGCATTTATGAAGGGGCGACAAGGCATTTCCAAGGCCCAAGGATGGGGTTCTTGGTCTAGTCGTACGCGCGGTCCGTACGTCTAACAACAAAATGTCACGAAGGGGCCAAATATTTCTGGAGTAAATGAAAATTCTTAAGGCAAGGCATCGCTGAGGGATTTTGTGGAGGTTAGGCCAAATTTTCCCTTTGATCTAGGGCCCTCTGATCTACGGCCCATAGGGCTATGCTTGATAGGATCCCTCAAAAGGGCCCCATCCTTAAACGAGGGCCTATATACAAAAGTAAAACATTTAATAAGTCCTGTTCCACTGAACTGGGCCCTGTTCCCTCTTCCGTCTCAAACAAAAAGCTCGGGCCCTGTCAGGTTGAAGACTCAAGGCAAGTTGACCCTCTGCCTTAGATATAATGGATATATCTATTATTTCCATGCCCTTTGCCCTCCACTGGCTTGGAATCCCTGATGAAGCAATTTTAGAGCACTTTTATCGAGGTAGCCAATCTTTGACTGGCTGACCAAGCGGCCCAAAACTAGTAGCCTGGGGACGAAAATAGATCCTCCAATTATTAAACTCCAAATGGCTTATACAGATCTGTCACGCAAATAATGCTCCATGCTCCACAGGCGACACAAATTTGGAAGGAACGGCGGTCAGCTGGCCTCCCCTGACGAACAGGATCCAGCACGCCACTACTCCCCCTCCCCCTCCAATGTTGTTTACCCAAAGCAGACAGTATAGCACATAGATATAGGAGATCTAGATTGCTAACGCATACCTAGGCGCAGGCGGGGCCTACATGACAAATCCAAGATGGCGGTACAAGAGGGCAAAAAGACTATAGATTCTATTACGAAAATCAAGATTTTTGCATTTTTTGCCGTCGCATTGTTTTGAAACTTATTCGGTCAAATTTTGTGGTAAAGAGAAACGTACCGCGAAGATTTTGAGCATATATATGATTGAATTGGATGAAAACTCGCAAAATTATCCAGCGATAAAAGTTCGTGTGAAATGGTCAGTTGGTCAGTTGGAGCGTTTTATTGCCAGAAATACTGTACTATGTTAACATCTAGTCTTGTGAATGGTGTTTTATACTTGCGTCTTTCATCATCATCTGCTCTGTCCTCATAATTATGAAAAATTCACTGTTATGTACCCCCCCCCCCGTCGCCAAAAAAATTTCGGTCAGTATACCTTTTTAGAGGTCAAAAAAATTTTTCCGGACATAACAAAATTTTTCGGAACATCACACAACTTTTCCAAACAACACAAAATTGACCACAAAATTGACTAAATTTTCGACTAAATTGACTGAATTTTCGACTAAATTGACAGAATTTGTCCCATTTATTTTTATTACAAACCAAAATTGCCCGACTGTTTAT